CAGCTCAACCTGGAGCTGGGCTGCTGTGAGTCGCCCGCGACGGCGTAGGCTGCAGTCACTGTGGCAGTGGGTTGCCATGGGCTACCGTGTGTAGCCAGCAGCCAGCGTGAGCAGCCAGCAGCTGCAGTGAGCAGCCGTCCAGAAGCCGGTGACTGACTGCCTCACCCGGGAAGAGCGCAATGATGGTGCCAACTTGGGCCAGTGAAGCAACGTCCTCCACAACTAGACTGAAAAAAAAAAAAAAAAAAATATATATATATATATATATATATATATATATATATATATATATATATATATATAATTAGGATGTTGTTTAGGGTGTTTAACCAGGGGTCCAATCAAAAAACTCATACAACTATTTAAATTATAGAGACAAATGAGAGATAGCTTATACCTCCCAGTAAAATCAAGGGTTAAATAAAAACACAACTTTCAGTTTACTCATTTGTTTCTCTTCTAAGATTCAGTGATGATTTTTTCTGCTTACCCTTCTCTCTGACCAATGCTGTGACAGTCAGCAAAGGAAAACTAGAACCAAACAAACAGCACAGTCTGATTCACCAGCTTTCAGGCCAACTTCATCTCAGTACAAGTCTGATCAAATTCAACTTTTTTTCACTTAAGTGATGTGATAAAGGTGTTAGCTAACACTACAATGGCAATCATACAGCAATATAAATGCATCAAATCAATATGTTGTCCAACTTAAACTTACACAATGTTATAGGTCAATTAAATCTGAATTTTAAAAATTCAATTTCTACCAAAACCAGCTGATAAGTAAAGAACAACCCCCCTTTTAAACTCATCTAATAATAGTTGTTCAGCCAAGACTTGGCTCAATATAAATTCATTAGGCTACAAAGAACTGCCCTCATCCAAAACTCATCCCCAAACATCTATTCATTTAAGTTCTAGTTCTACACAAACTCATCTGAAATCAACTTGTCAGAGAAGAGCTTCCTTATCCAAAGTTCATCCAAAGGCAACTGTTTAGCTGGAAACTAGCTCTTCACAAATTCATCAAAGACAAGCTAATCTGCAAAGAATTTTATGTCCAAAGAAGCTATTCAGCAAGGAGCTACCTCAAACAAACTCCTCTGAAACAAGCCAATATACAAAGATCTGTTCCATCCAAAACTCATCTAAAATCAGCTGCTTAATTTTATTCAGTCAATTCATTCTTCCAACCCTTCATTGAACATATATTCACTCTATGTTCTGCTAGCATTGTTTTGGTCCCTGTGAATAAAACATTGAATGGAAAGGACAAAGATCCCTTCCCTTGTGAAGCTTACATTTTGGTGGAGGAAATATTAAATATTCAAGTCTTACTGTGTGGGAGGAAGCCTATGACTCTGGGGAGCGCAGTTTCCTCTGGGCATTATTTTCAATGAATAGGTGAGCTTCAATGAAACTCACCTACAACTAACTTATCAGAAAGACACTTCCTGTCCAAAGCTAGTTCAAAAGCAACTGTTCAGTTAAGACCTGGATTTACTAAAAACAATTAAAGAATAATTAATAAGCAAAGAGACAACCCATCCAAAAACAGTTGCTTTATCTGGTGTTGCTTTTCCATATAGTCATTCAAGAAGAGCTATTAAACAAAGAATTGTCCTGTCCAAAGCTCTTCTTAAAATAGCCATTCAAAAAACACATACAAAACTCCATAGTCAATCACAGTCTCACCTACCATAATATTTTCTAAAATATGCTATTCATAAAAAACTTAAATGTATGTAATGTGCTAAAAATTGTCACCCAATAAACTTTAATTAAAAAAAAAACTCATATACCTCAATCTTGTCCAAAACTACCTCAAAAAAAAAAATCTAATCACACCAATTTCATCCAAATCTACATATCTACAATAGACTTGGACAAACTCAACCTAATCAAAGTGAATTGTTTCCTTCTGTGCTCCTCTATCCAAACCCATATCCAGGTATTTTTATTTTCAAGCTCTCTTCCACAAACACAAACCATTCCTATAACTTTCACTGCCCCTGCTACCACTACTTCTAAAGCAATTTCTACCACCACCACCACCACCACCCCATATGCAACTCCAGCTCTAACTATAATTTCACATTAACATCTGCTATAACTACAAAACAAATCATTTCATCCTACAATGGCCTAGAAGCTGGCACATACAACCATTTCTTTGAAACAAAAGCATCTCCCTATGATGGCACCTAACTTTACTCTTTCTCTGCATTAAATTTGAAACATAAAATTTCCTTATGGCATCACAGAATCATTTATCGACCTTCCATTTGGCTCTGAAACTACATTTTTTCCTGATTACTTCTGCAACATTGAATGTAACTCCACAATTGTCAGTATTGTATTGACTCTGAAACTATATAAATTCCCAACCCATTCCAGAGCCTTATCATCATCCACACACTGAAATCAAGAATTGACCCCTTACATCAGTACTGCATCTCTTATCCCTCCCTTTGGCATTCTAATTTGTTGCCATTTGCAGGACATTCTTTTCCATTTTGAAAAGTCACCTAGAACGAAGCTTATTTTTTTTAACACATATGAGTGTACTTTTAATAGTGAGTTGAAATTTTTCCACATAAACAGAGTGCAATGTTACCACAATCTATGAAACAAAGTTATCCAATACACATTGTGTTCATGGACATGTGTGCATTTTTCTGAGGAGATGATGTGTTGATTCAATCAGATTCTCAAAAGGGCCCATAACCCAAAGAAATGTGAAACTAAAACCAATATGAAAGATCAAGAAATGTCTAGACCTACTGGGCTAAGAGATGTCACCTATAGTCCCTAAAGCACTTTAATGAATCCTGACATCCTAAGTTATTTCAGAAAAATAAATTACCTCACTGTTTTTGCTGATGTCTTTTAGTTTTAGAATGATTTAGAAATTTTTTCCCTTTTATAGTACATATTTCTTGATACCCAACTCTATAATTATATTATTGCAAGCTATCTGCTTTCAGACTTAAAATTTCTTGTCTAAGAAATTACTCAGCCTTCTTAATTTCCCTTGTTTATTTTGGTCAAATCCCACTGACTGTTCAGTTTCCGAGCCAGGGTGTGTCCCATTCCAGCTTGGGGTTGGAGGCATGTCTGCAACAGACAATCCATGCTCTGTCAGTCCCTGAATTACCTTATGCCCAGACAGTCACAAGCAATGATTCAGTTCAAATGAGTTATTCACTAGCATTGTACTCTAAGCTGGTGATAGAACACAAGTCTCCTCAACTCAACCCAGGAAAAATAGTGACCTAAAATTCAACTCTGCCTCCACCAAAAACAAACAAACAAACAAACAAAGTTAAGGAAGCCCCTTTCCCTACCCATTCATTGAAAATAACGTCCACAAGAAAGTGGGCTCCCCAGGGTCATAGCCTCCCTCCTACACAATGAGACTGGAATATTTAATAATTCCCCCACTAAAATGTAAGTGATCTTTGTCCTTTCCATTCACTGTTTTATTCCCAGGAACCAAAACAATGTTAGCAGACATAGAATATATGTTCAGCAGAACATAGAACATTGAATATATGTTCAGTGATGGGTTGAAAGAAATAATTGACTGAATAAAAATGAATAAATGTGTCTATGAAAGCCTGTGATAAAATAAAGTTTCTTCCCTTTCACATCCTTTAGCATTTATGTTCCATTGCTCCTCTTAATATCCACCCCCTTTACAATGTTATTCTCTGTGCTGTCAATCATATTCATTCTTCAAATCCACATAAAGCCCATCTCTTCTCTGAAGCCTTCCCTCAATTCAACCTTACTCCAGCTCCCTACAGTATATATCTCTACCATTTATTCATCAACAGGCAGTGACTATCTGCTGCTTTGCAATGTTAACATTACTAACATAGGAGATACAAAAGAAATATGAGTCCCCAGGAACTCCTCATCTAGTTCAAGAGAAATGTATGATAGGGAAATAATGAAGGAGCCATATAAGATAATATCTTATCAAGACCAAAATGAGTAATAGAAACAAACAAACAAAAATACTACAGGTGATTAAAATTAGATATTGCTCCAACCCTGTTTTCCACTGCTACCCTCACCCCATTTTGTTTCAGTGGTAGGGAACAATAACATTACTCCTTCATATCTAGACACTTGGTCTGCCTGGATGCTCTCCTTGAGTTCTTAATGAATTTCTTTTATTCTTCAAAAGCCAGATCAAGTGTCACCTCTTCTATAAGCCTTCTCTGCCCTTCTGCCCCTAACAAAATTAGCCACACTCCCCTTCATACCTGTGTATGCTCCTGGCATTGTATTTATCAAGCATATAACTACTTGTTAAAATTGTATTTTTCTTCATATATGTTGAAATTTAAAACATACATATCCTTTAATACAGTACTTCTAGAAATAATACCTACAGAAATACTCCCACATGTGTGAAAAAATTTATAAGTATATTCATTGTACCACTTTTATAATTATAAATATAATTGAAATGGATTAAATATCCATAAAAAATGTAATGTAATAAAATATAACCATTAAATAAATGAAATTAATCTATATGTACTGACACATAAGGTTGGTCATTATTATTAAGTAAACAAAGTAACTTGCAGAGCAAATACATAATAGGCCTCTTTTTTTTTACATACAGTTATGTTTTGATGTTTGATTTATATGTTCATACATACATGATTAAACGGTACATCTGGGAAGTTATTTGTGAAGGAGATGGAGGTAAAGAAGGACTTTAATTTTTCTAGTTGTCTTTATTTTTTCTTAATTACACAAGGCACATTTTCCTGAAATACCCTCTGTTCAAATGGTAGACATTGGGTAATGTGATGTCTGCAGCTAATAACTCATCTAATGAAATGTTGGGAAATGAAAGAAACCAAATGATTTCACAGACAGCTAAGTCCTGATTGGTCTCTCAGTTGCCAACCTCCTGGAGTTGAGTTTAAATCCCTTCTACAAACTCACAACTCATCAAAGGGTAAAATTTTTTACTACAGAAACTGGAGAAATCAACTGGACTTTGAAGGTTGTTTCACCTGTACATTTTGCCTAGTGGAGAGAAAGGTAACATTAATTGACCATGTTTCAAATAGAACATTCTTTTTTAAAAAAAGTATCATCTTCCCTCAAAAGGAAGAAAAATGGAGTGAAAGAGTAATAACATTTTGTTGTTATAGGTACCAATTTGAAAGATGAAGACTACAATTCTACTATTTTGTCTTCTAGGATCAACTCAGTCATTACCAGTAAGTGCAATATGTTTATTTTACATATCAACCAGCCTTAGCAGCATCTTTGATTATAGGCCTAATTCGCTTCCTGCCCTCAGTCAAAACTTCTCTATTCTGTGATCTTTTCCCTTAGTTTCTTGTTTTATTTTCCAAGGTGAAAGATTATAAACTAATAAAGTATTAGTGCATATTTCAATGTACTTACATTTGTGGTAGAATTTCTACTATTTTGTCAGAGCAACAAGGTAGAAATAGGAGAAAAAGGAATGTCTTAGATTATATCTACACAAAATGGATAATTATTTTACTTTCCAAAAAGAATTTAAGATTTCTTGACAACTAATTATTTTCTCATGACTAAAGAGCTTAACTGTATTTTCTGATTTTTCAATTATAATTGGAAACACAAACATCTAGATTAAATAAACTCTAAAAAGTCTACCATATCATGCAGTAGCAAGTAAATATTACAGTTTTCTGTAGTTTTTTATTTAGAACACTTTATCACAAAATGTGTTCACATATAACAGGTTTTTTTTTAAAGGGGGCACTTGTATTCGAACACATACTCCAATTGTCCTCTAATATTTTATAGACATGAGATGGGTTGTTTGGGTCTCTAAGGGAACTCCCCTTTCACTATTTGAGATATTTGAATGTGGACATTAAGAAAATAATTAGAATATATTTGCAGTGAAATAGCAGAACACAAAGAAACCATTTTTAGGTCAGCGTCAAGCCCACTTGACTCTTCTTAGTCATCCATACAATCAACAAATATTTGCTGAAAACTCTCTATAAAACAGATACTGTGCTTCTTGCTGAAGACACAATGATGAGGGAGAGAAAAGGCATGACCCTTCACCTCCATGGTGTTCACTAGGATTGTAGACACTAATAAATAAATTTTCAAAAGAAATGATAAATTATAACTGTGATTAGTTCTATGAAGGAGATGAACAGGGTGATCTTGTAGGAAGGGGATGGGACAGACATAAATAAACAACCTCCTACTTATTTCATTCCAAATATACATATGTCCTTCTTGAAAGACATCTGCAAAAATTCAATTTCTAAACAAGGTAAATTAGGAGTTAATTTTTTCTGTAAAACATAGATTTTTCCACTTCCCCAAATAAATTTACCAGAAGTTTCTCCTAAATAGGGTGTCTCTAGTATATTTCCATTACTATACAATTTGTAAAATTTCATGATAAATAAAACTTTCCAGGAGTACAGCTATCATTCAAGATAAATTAGTAGCAGGTCAATGCAAATTGCTAATTGCCAATAACATGAAAGCAGCTAGAGAGTTGGTTTTGCAGGGGATGAAGGAGGTGACAGTATAATGTCTCTTAGGTACAGTACTGATATTTATCAAATGAAAAATCAGGATACATGGATAAGGTACTTTTTATTAGTAGTAAATGAATTTATTCAATTATCATAAAGGCATAAAAATGAGTGCAAATGTGGACACTTAAAACAGCCTAGCAATTGTTTTCAATAGGTCAAAAGTTTGGGAATAGGGCGCACATTTGAGATGGGGCAGGTTGCAAGTTCAAGAGAGTGGTCAGGGTGGGCCGCAATCAGAAGGTGAATGCAAGCAAAGGTAAGAGAGAGCGAGTCAGTGTCTGGGGAAAGAGGTAAGTCTCTGAGGCAGGAGTGAGCCTCAACTATTGCAGAAACAGTCAGTAGCCTGGAAGGCAGTAGTAGAATGAGTGAGAGAAAATGTGATGGGGTGGAAGGTCAGAGGGGTAGTGGGAACCCAGCGCATGAGGGCCTTGTAGGCCATTGTAGGGTATCTGGCTTTTACTCTGTGTTAAAATGGAAGTCAATGAAGAGCTTGAGCAGAGGACTGAAATGTACAAACTGTTTTTTTCAAAGGTCTCTCTGGCTGCCATTCTGACAATAGATTGTAAGGAATGAAAAGAAATTTGCAGAATTTATACTTACATAATCTTAAAGCTTAAAGGGACCTCTAAGCACAGATAATGCCACTCTTACCTCTTACAACTAAGGAAAAGTCCAAAGTGAAACCCAGAGTCAGTGGCAGCTCCAGGATACATCCAAGTGGCCCAGGGGCACATGCAGCAATGGAGGGCCACACCATACTGCCTTCTGTGATGCAGCCAAGAGCAAAGGCCAGCTGGGACCAACGTGGCCAGTGAGCTCTCATCTGAATACAGGGGGAATGCTGAGAGGAACTGAGGGAAGGACTCATTTCTCCAAGGACCAAAAGCACTTGCAAGATCCTAGTACTGGCTCTGCCACTCACCGTGTCACCTTGGGCAGGTCGCTCTGTTTGTCTGGGCCTCATTTTCCTCATTTTTAAACAAACCATACAAATAGATCATATGGATTGTAAGCACATTTTCACCCCTTAAATTCAGTGATTCTTAATACACTAGGAAATTACGCTGGCCAGGAAAAATGCTGAACTTCCATTGCAGGAAGTGACTTGTCAGGCGCGAGGCAAAAGCAGAAAGCTTCATGAAAATGCAGTAGGAATTGTGGCAGCGTACCTTCAGGCATTAGGAAAAAGCAAATGTGTAGAGAGCTAAGATGCAGCCTACCTATGTTATTTTATGCCCTGAAAAAGGAAGAAGGCAGTTACAGAAAAGGAATGGGAGCCTAGGAACTACCACCAGACATTCATGTGCTCTGCCCCACCCTAGCTCCCTCTCCACTGCACACTTCCTGGGCTGGCATTTTTTCACTCTACAATTCCATCTCTTGCCATGCACAAAACGTTCTGGGAAATTAAACCTGCTCCAAAACACACAGAGCCTAAAGACAGACATTTTTGCATTTGGGACATCCTGCTACCTCCTGAAAATAAATGGATACAAAACTTCAAATACATCCCTGCCTAGTCAAATATTTGTTATTACAGATGCAGCTCAACCCTGCTTTGGGACTTCCTCCAACAAAGCTGGTTCCAGATCAGGCAACCCTACTAAACCAACAGCAGCTAAATCAGGTAAGCGTCCTCCAATGGGGAACATTTACAGACCAGCAAAGGAAACATGTTAAGATCCATGGATTTAAAATCAAGATTTACACAGTCCCATGACTAAACAAGAGAGAGACTTTCCTTTTGGGAGTAAAGTAAAACAAGAACCAACACAATATTTTGAGTCACGAATACAAATCATCTTCATTCTTTTTCATTTTGTCTGAATAATAATAAGGTTTAGCAACCAAATCTAGTACACTTTGAAAAGCAATACCTGTACCTGTTGATAAATCTTGATCATCTATGGCCTTGAAATACTGTGTCATGTCATAGATAGTATTTGCCAGAGCTATCAAGGATTGAGAGGTAATCTATAAAAATAACTGCACATTTCCTCATGGTTTTCTTAAGTTCCATTGTTAATGCATTGAAGTGTCACTGTAAAATTTGTTTCTTCAAAGCAGATTTAAATACTTTTGAAAACTGCAATGTCTTTTGGCTACTACCGTTCTTCCCATTCCAACCCTCCCTGTGTTTTAAAGGACCCCACCTTACCCTCATCTAGACTTTGTGAAATAGTATAATCAAGTAGCACCAGGGTCTAAAGTTCTCTTTTTAATCTATGGATGGACATTAGGAAACTCAAGTCAGGAGCCATGCTCTCTCCTTAGGGTACCTGAAGTTTGTACAATTTGGGGACACTCTTTAATAAAAAGAATACAAAATTAGATATATAACATTACGTGCTAAAGTGAATAATCTGTAATGAGATAAGAAGTACACATTTTTTAAGCTGATAAATAACATAAACTGGACATGCTGCTAGGGTGCCTTTCAGGGCCAACAAAGGGAACAACAGTGAGAGGCCCTGAAGCTTCACCTTCATTTACTTTCATGGCAAATTCACCTGTGTGGGAGTATACACTACTTAAGAATATCCACCATCAATAGTATGGTGAAAACAGTCAACCTCTCATTTAAATGCCATCCAGGTCTTCCCTTCTTTAAGTCTGATACCACTGACACAGATGCTCACACTGGGGTCAGATCTGCAACTGGTAAGTACTCATTTGTATCATTTTAATATCCATTGTTAAATAACAATAATACTTAATGTTGAGTGCATATGTGTGTGTGTGTGTGTGTGTGTGTGTATCCACAAAGGTGCACACACACAGGTATTTACTATAGATAAGCTGAAAGAGAGAAGACAGAGAAAAGCCAGGGAGCTAGATGCTATTCAATGCATCATGAAAACTTTTTCTTAGCACGAGGGTCTCCAAAGGAATTAACCTAATTCTGAAGTCTTTACTGCTTTAGTTCTTCTCATCTCTTCTCCAAGCTCCTCTCCCCATTCTTTCACCACACCTTCCTCACTGCCCCCTACAATATCCACACACCTACACGAATACTATGACTGCTATCTTCACCCGAACAATGAGAGCAAACAAGAAAAGATAGAGTTTCATACTTCTCATAACATTATCTATACAGTTCCTTAAACTACATATAGTTTAAGTCCCTTTCCTGATTAAAGTGGACTTTTTTCCAGTGGTCAGGTTTATATACAGTATTAGATCACACACAGACTAGATATTTTATTCTGACCCTCACAATTTTCATGGGGATACCTATGAAGGAATTAATATCTTCCTAAGAAAGTCATCAGAAAATTCCAGGAATCATTGCTGTTATAGCCAAAAAGGGAAAAGCCAGGATGAAATCACCTAAGTATTTCTCAAAGAGAATGGGTTAAGTGCCAAAGAAATATTTAATATGGAAAAAGTTAGGAAGACCATATGGTTGTACTAGTAAACCAAACAAGTCTTTGAACTTCATTTCTACATCTAATTCCAAATGCAAGATAGTATACTATACATTTACATAGCAAATTCTCCATTAAACATATTTTACGTTTAGTAAATACATTTTAGTTTCCTGAATGTTCAAACTGAAACAACATAATGAAAATCTTCTTTGCCCTACAGCTAAATCCTGCTGCAGGGATGGCACCTGCTTCCCAGACCCTCCCACTGACCCTGGGAGGGTTAAACGTACAACAGCAGCTGCAACCACAAGTAAGTTCCACTTCAGTTTAACATTGGGGAGCATTTATGTTCTCTCGGGAGGAAGCTTAAAGGGGAGGAAAGAATTTTTTCAAGGTTCTTGAACATTTTACCCAGATAATTTGCAGAATGATATTCTGCAGAATAGTCTTTGGCAATTTGGTTCTTGCTGAAAACCCATGAAAACACACCCCAGGAAGCTGAGCATGCTTCCCATAATCTCTCTAGAATACATTTGTAATGAGTATCAGGAAAATGTGAAGAGTTGGGGAAGGCTGAAAAGTAAAATGTATAAGGGGGGAAGTTGAGAGGTATCTGGAGTCTTCTCTAGCATGTTGTTTTCTATTGAAGACGTTCTGGGCAACCAGAACCATCTTAATTAAAATTAAGAGGTGGATAAAATTTAAATTCAGCAAATCTAATCTTTTTTTGCACCCCTTTTCATGCTCCCTCAAAAGTCCCCTAAGGACTTTTCAGTTCTTTCTCACCTCCCACCATAATTTGCTTTCAGAAAAAAACCTAGAAAACCCTCTCATACTAAGAAACAAATGACATACTTAGGGCATTGCTCCTTTGAGAAGTGTTTAAATTTTAACTGCAGCAAAAGTCCAAAAATTTACCATTTTGAAACTTGTCTAAATAGATAATTAGAGTCTGGAGAAAAATCTAATGACCCATTTATGACTAGACTAAGTCATTATGGAAAATTTATTCTCCCCAACAGGTAATCTCAGCCCCTATCATTCCCACATATTGGTCTAACTTTTTATAGTGCCTTTATTGTTTATTACAGATATAATATATGTTAAGTAGAGAACTTAGAAAATACAGATAAACAATACAAAAAAACATAAAATTCACTCAGCCAGAATTAAACACTATCAACATTCTAGGATATGTTGTTCCTGTCTTTATCTTTTTTAAAGAAAATATGTTCTTACCATAGCTAATGTTCTATAATCTGATTTTTTCACTTATTAAATTTTGAATAGTTTTTTATTTTGAAATATTCATTTATAACATTATTTTTAATGATTGCTTACTTTCCAATGTATTGCAAAAAATTTGGGTTTTTTTCCCCCAAAATTTTGCTTATATAAATGATGCTATAGTGAACATTCTTGTAATTAAGTCTTTGACCACATCAATGATTATTTCCTTAGGGCCAGTTCTTAGGGGAAGAATTTATAGGTCCAAAGACATACAAACATGTAGGACTTTTAATATACATTTTAAAATTAGGAAGCATGAATACCACAATGGACCAATATATCCTAACCATCTTCTCACCACTATGGATACCTCCAGGTTTGTTTGCTTTTTGTGTTTTGGGGTTTTTTTAATTTTCTAAAAGTCACTTTATTTTTTTTTCATGTTATTAGCTTATTTATTAGGTAAAATGTTTTGTTTTAATAAGAGCAAACTTGTGTTAATTAGTAATTATAATCAAAGATGAGTTTAACTAACAAAATAACTTTAAGTTGCTCAATTT